GCAACTTGTCCCTATCCTGAGTCAAATCAATCCAATCCATACCATCCTAACTCTCTAAGATTCATTTTAATATTGCCCACCCACCTACATCTTGGTCTTCCCAGTGGTCTCTTTCCCTCTGGCTTTCCCATCATTGTCCTATATGCATTCATTTTCTCCCCGATTCGTGCTACATGCCCTGCCCATCTCATCTTTCTTGACTTGATCTTTCTAATTATATTTGAAGGAAAGTACAAGTTATGGAACGCCTCATTATGGAGTTTTCTCTAACCTCGTGTCAGTAGCCGTTTGAAATTACCGAAAAATTGAAAATATTAATTCTGGAAGCGTGTTTATTACACATTCCAGAAAAGATATTCTAAAAAACGAAAACAACTTAGGACACGACTGAAGAGTTCTCTATTATAGGACGTAACGCCGTGTAGTCCTGAAGGTCAACCGACTTTTCGGAGGAACATATGTCCGTCTTCCTGTTTGGAATATCAGGAAAGCAAGAAATCGGCTGTCTTCTTCATGCTGGTTCTTCTCATGACTCAATCTTCAAACCTGAAGACGGAAACAAAATACTCCTCCGAAACGTTCGGTGACTTTTATCAGACTACCCGGCGTTATATCTTGGTAAGATGGAACGGTGAGAACCTCAAATCCAACAGAATACAATTATTTAAATGAAAATTTAACATACAGAAATGTGGGAAAATTTTCAATTTCTTATCACCAGAAGTAAAGATAATTAATACAGAAATTTGTTTTAATAAATGCGACATAGCGCTTCTATATTTAGATAATGCCATCTATATAAGTACTGTTTCAGTAATTACGGAAGTGTCTACACAGAGTCTACAATTGACTCTCCACATTGCATTACTGAAGAAAGTTTATGCTCAAGAAATATGGCGCTGACCATACCAATGAGGACCGCAGTAGTCTTACGGCAAATGTTACAGCTTACGTAACTGTTGATACTGTAGACGGCGCAGATGAAGGTGGAAAATATTCCCTACCGGACTGTTAAGTCAGACCTGTTTTCCAGTTTATTTCCTTGCATTGCAAATGTGAATGTAAGTTCTGTTGTTGAACATGCCTGCAAGTGCACGACGCATATATGAATACTTAAATATATGTTTTACAATCGTCATGGAGAATTTAAATCGCTTGTTTGTATAAATAATTTTGCCGTCGTAACATATATATTCCGGTAAATGCGAATAAGCCGGTCACGGTAGCCGAGCGGTCTAAGACATGTACTGTCTTCGCTCGTTTAGAAACCGGGATTGTGGGTTCGAATCCCACTCAGAGTATGGATGTTTAGTTTGTGTGTATGCGTTTTTCTGTGTTTGTGTACAGGTAGAGGCCTTGCGACGAGCTGATCACCCGCCCAAGGGGTCCTACCGAATGTTTAATATCTAGAAAAACCGAAGTGAACGGAGAAGTTCATGGAGGTAGGCCTAGGTCCACTGGGGCTGTAGTGCCAAGGAAAAAGAATGCGAATAAACCGGTAATTATACATAATTACCAGTAATGTTATAAATATCATGTTAATAATTACTTTTACCGATAATTATGAATCATCAACATCATCATCATTGGCACAACAACAGTTTTTGAGTTATGCCTTGCCTCCAACCCCCAACCTGGAAGACCACGTCTGTTTATTTATGTCCCCGAGTGGTCCAGTTATGCCCCCAGTTGCTGGGTTCCATATTCCTCGCCTTCTGTGACTCGCAGGGTTACGATGGAGTTATTCTAACCAACTTGCGAATGGGGGAAATTACGGATAATTGTAATGGTTACCGATAAAAGTGATAGCATCACATGTATTAATATTTCCCATAATTCTGTGTAATTATTAATTGTTGTTCATAATTACCAAATATTTAGTTTTGCCGTAACATTGAGTTACTTCGCCAGAACATAGACTTGAAAGGATTCTGACGATGGTGTATACTGTACTTCTTTTAGCTTGTTTTGGACTTCATCCATCGTCTGTTATGTAAAAGACAAAAAACCACGACCACGCCAAAACATGTCTTCATGATATATATCTGTCTATGGCTATACGGCCATTTGGATATTGGCTGCTTTTCAGTTTCTTAATCCTATACACTGTTGGTAAGACTCTTTGACGGGGGATCAGCCCGTCAAAAGGCCTCTACCTATACACAGAATAAACGCACACAGACATTCATGCCTCGAGTAGTATTCGAACCCACGATCCTAGTGTTTGAGCGGTCGAAGACCGTTAGACCGCGCGGCCACTGTGACTGACATGTCTTCATACAGATAGGTCTATGTGTATATATATTTTACATATTCTTGGTTTATTTTACGACGATTTCAATTATTCTGATTTTATAGGGTCGGATTATGAAACGATACGAAGCGTACGTTGCTTTACTTGAGCTGCTATAGCAGCATTTGCCTGAAGGGACCGAGGAGGACCTCAAACCGCCACCAAGCCAGGTCTAAATCCGAGATATTAGGTAAAGCTGTAGATTTTTATTTGGGATGTAATCGATTCAGTACTCAGCCTCGACATCGGCTATCCTGACTCATTTCTATGGTATTCTTCAGGCTCTCCTTGCATACACATCTCGAGTAGACCATAAAGGTGTCCTTCCAAACCGGTTCTAGTTCCATACTCACCGATCGCCCTGCCATTCGGTCCTGTACAATCTGAGACACCGACTGCATCCAATAATACAGGATAAAATGTAAACATTGGGAGCCCCCGAATGCGGAGCATGTTTGCTACCCGCTGGACAGCCACGTTCCTAACTAATACTGTACTATTAATTCAGTGTCATTAGGAATGTTCTGTATGTTCCAGCAACCATAATCATCATCATTTTTCACCCTTTGACAAATGACATGTCATTGTGCAGCATACCAATTAAACGATTTACGGGCACGCGGTAACCTAATTAATTGAAGTACTATGCTACAAGCCGGAAGGTCGCGGATTCGATTCCCGATGAGGTCATTAGATTTTTAGATTGACCTAATCCTTCCAGCCACACTCTGGCCCTAGGGTCGACTCAGCCTCTGGCAGAAATGAGTACCAGGAATCTTCCTGGAGATTAAAAGGCGGCCGGCTCGTAAGACTGACAATCTCACCGCCATTTGTGAGCCGATTTTCTAGAAAATGTGGAAACCTCGACGTGTTACAACACTGTAGGCCTTCACGTCCTCTTGCAGGGATATCTCTTTTTATTTATTGTATTTATTATTCATTAATTAATCCAGTTGTTTCGCATAATGCTGCAGCCAGTTAATGTAAAATTAAATAACTCTGTCACTAGCAAATGAGCAGCAAGGTCAGGCTCTGCTTCTTCAAAAGCCATTGCAATATTGCCCCTAATAGGTCTCCAAGTGCTTCCTTCTTTTGCAGTTCTCTGATGCTGGAGTTGTTTGCGTATTCCTTATTTGTTTCATTTGTGTTACACATCTATCCCATCTCATCTTCCTTTATTTAGTCCCACTGACAACCTGAGTTGTTGCTCATATATTCAAGTAATGTCCAGTCCTTTATGTAACCAGAAGGAACATTATCGTGTTCACGACAGAGGCCACGGCCCCTGTATTGATCCCGTGTATTTCTCACCTTCACGATGGTACGTGTCACGCCCATTTGCTCTTCTCTCGTAGGTCAAAATATTCTCCTCGGCTCACCGCCTTTAAGCACCCTTAATGTGCCGTATTGCGAAGAGAGAAGAGAGACCATGTTACGTCCCATACAAAACAACGAGTAAAATTATGTAATTTTTGTTGTGTTTTAATCAATATTATTCAGATACAAGACGGAAAGAGGAGCCCTGACAAATGTAAAATACTTTATTGCTTATTAAGCGACACTGTCAATAGCTCACGTTACGTAACATCTGATTATTGGATGATGTATAATGAACGTATAATGGGTGGGCCTTCTCGGCCCATGCATCGCCACCTACAGTGATCTATTGTGCTCGGATTATTGGATGATGGTGGCACTGAATATGACGTAATATGTGAGGAAGTTGTCGTGAACTAGTTTAAGGAACGATCCTTTCATTTGCCTGATGGGACTAAATCACAAAATATTTCAGCCAAAATATCCGGCTCCCTAACCGAGATTCGAATCAGTCATCTCCTGAAATCATAACAGAATTTTTGCCGCTTAAGTTAGCTTATTCGGTTGATGTGTAAAAATTTGGAAGCTCCTGGTTAGTCTCACGTAATTTACTCTGGCCCTCTCTTCTTTTTTTTTTTCTTGGCACTACAGCCCCAGTGGGCCTAGGCCTACCTCCATCGACTTCTTCGTTCACTTCGGTTTTTCTAGATCTTACACATGCGGTAGGACTCCTTGGGCGAGTGATCAGCCCGTCGCAAGATCTCTACCTGTAGACAAACACAGAAAAACGCACAAACATCCATGCCCTGAGTGGGATTGGAACCCACGATCTCGGCTTCCGAGCGAGCGAAGACAGTGCATGCCTTAGACCGCTCGGCTACCGTGACCGGCCTGGCCTTCTCTTACTTCCGAATATTCTCATGAAGTTTGTGACCTGTAAATATCTGTCAGTATAATGTTTGTGAGGCAGTAGACGATGTTGACATGCTAAGCTTTCTGTAACATGGATAGCTTCATTGGTTCCAGCAGTGCCAGCAACACAAACCATCAGCAAACACTTGCAAGCAGTGTGTGGGCTTACTCAAGTTTCCATCTCCACTTCCACCGAGTCACTATCAGTGGCAGTAGCGACACTTTCTCTTGAACGTAAACCAAACTGCAGCCCGACTCTAACGTAATGTTCTATGCGTACATTCTCATTTTCAAGATGTCTGCCAGTATATATAAAGTGCGAGGTGGCAGAGAGAGCGATCAACACAACATCACCGGATATATACCAGACAGGAGCTGCAAAGATTTTGTTGTGGTCGGTTTGAAGTGTGCCTACTCTCACGAAGAAGAAATTGTCTTTTATTTTCTGTTGTATATTAGTAATTGTTTGTATTTTCAGGTTCTTTTCGGGACCCGTCGTTAAATATGGTGTCATACTGCAAAGTGGTGAGTTGTAAAACGCAAAAAAATAATTTAAATTTTAATAAATTTTGTAATTTCAAATTATTGCTCGGATGCATTTGTTCGAGAAGTGGAAACATTTATAATTCATTTAAATATATATCTGTGTTCCTGTCTAAGACGTCTTTCAACTCTTGAATTTTCTGTGGAGTTTTACTTTAGTTATTGAAGCTTAGAAAAAAAATATGATTTTTAGTAAATTTTGACTGATGCCTTGCGTGAATAAATTGCTGCTACATTTGAAGGTATGAAACCTATATTTACACACTATAAGGCATACTTGTCTGCATGGTAATATCGTAATTGTGCTGATTGAGGTTACGTGTTCACACGCCGGTTGCAGATGGTACCGTTTCTTTCTGTTGGTGGATATGCCAACAGTAGTCTCTCTGTCTTCACCTATCCTCATTTTCATGAAAGATACTGATTTAGAAAAAAAAAACCTCTTCTTAACTATACTTTTTACGAATCTAAATACTGTGACTGGATTGTGAGCATACGAAGCTGATGCAATAGCTTTCATATTTTTCATATTTGATTCGCTTAGTAAGTACTTCCGCTATCTTAGCTTTATTCTGTGTAACGAAAGGGGACACGCGGTAGCGTAATTGGTTCAGGCATTATGCTACGAGCCGCAAAGTCGTGGGTTCGATTCCCGATGCGGTAGTTGAATTTTTCGATTTATCTGATCCTTCCGGCCTCATTATGACCCTGAGGTCGACTCAGCCCGTAACAGAAATGAATACCAGGAATCTTCCTGCGGGGTAAAGGGCTGCCGGCGCGTAAGACTAACAACCTCACCGCCAACCGTGGGCCGATTATCTAGAAAATGTGGGAGTCTCGATGTCTCACAAAAACCTATGAGCCTCCACGGTCTGTTACAGGGATAAATTTACGTTTACCTGTGTAATGAATATGTAATGAATGTGGAATTTGATTCAATGGTTTCAATACATACCTCTCAAATTATTATCGGTAAATGTACGAAATCTGTTGTCAAGCATTGCATCGGTAACTGTTTCATCTTGCATTCTGTAACAGCCGCGTATGTTAACAAATGCTATGAGGGGATAACATCAAGAAAGATGAGATGAATGGAACATGTACCATGCATGAGGAAGATGAGAAATGCTTAGAGAATTTCAATGTGTAACTCTGAAAGGAAAGACCCCATCTCCAGGACGTGGGTGTGGACAGGAGGAATATTAAAGTTGATCATACGTGTGGTGGGGATGTGGACTTGATCCTTCTGTGTCAGGATAGGGACCAGTAGCAGGATCTTGTGAATATGTTAAAAAAATTTGGATTGCATAAATGAAGGAAAGTTTAAATATTTTAGAGCAAGATAAGAACCTCAAGTAGTGTGCATTAAGAACTCTATTTCTCAAAGAATCCTATCTCCTGGGATATAACACCGTATACTTTGTCACTAACATATCATCGAGTGACAAAACCGAACAAAATTACAAAAATGTGAATACTTTAAAGTGGTTTTCCTTATGATAGAGATAAATAATGGAAAATTCTTGTGAAATCAGTTTAATTTCGTATGATATCCGTTTTGGTCCCGCGGTCTAGGCCTCAACTGTCTTTGCCCGCTCGAAAGCTGGGATCGTGGATTCACATCCCACTTGAGGCATGGATGTCTGTGTGCGTTTATTCTATGTGTAGGTAGCGGCCTTGAGACGGGCTGATCTCCCGTCCAAGGAGTCCTACCGACTGTGTATAGGATCAAGAAATTATACGTAAAAGCGGTCAAGGCCCAACAAAGGGCTGTAGAGCCATAATAATAATATTTGGGCCCGAAGCTCTCTGTACGAATTACTAAAGTAAATTTATGATAAATGTCAAGAAATGGATATCTGCATTGTCGGAGAAGTTTACGCATTGTACGCACAAGTGAAAGGGAAAGTAACAAATGTTTGAGCACTACGCCATTGAAACTCATTGCCCTGTAACAGATAATTAGCTTCAGACTTAATTACCCTGAGTAACATACTGTGTGACGCAGTGCATGTACGTCAGAAATTCGTTTAATAAAATCGTTAAGAGATATGTAAATTAAATTAATTAAAATTAAATAAATTTTCCGACCGTAAACTATTTGAATTCTAATTTTTATATAGCAATGTAAGTGTAACACACGTTGCTGTTGATTTACTTCCTCTGTTCTTACGAACATGGTAAATGACTTTCTTAAGGCTCGGCCACACAGAGCGCTACGTACGCTATGTGCGCTATACGAACAGAAAAATATCTCCCTTTATTGCCAATGTGACTGGCCACACAGACTTCCGTACGCTACGTACGCTATGTTCCCTATGTTAGCTGCGTCGCAGAGTGTACACAGCGTACGTAGCGAACATAGCGTAGCGCTCTGTGTGGCCGAATCTTTATTCCGTAAAAGAGGAAGTAATTTTCGACTGAGTGACTGTTAGTGTCCCAAGAAGAAATCTGCACCAGAAGGCTATTTATTTATTTATTTATTTTCGAGCCACAGACTATGATAAATGAATATGGTGCATATGATTTTTGAATACCCTGCAAACAGTCCCGTTCATTGCAGAAATATGGGCTTGGAAAACAGAGAGAGCATGGCCTTGCAAGAGAAACTCCTCAGCGCTTTGTCCCAGCACCCCCACCATTCATTTTCCTCTCTAGACATGAATGAGAGTACCACACAGTCGTGAGCGGAAGGAAAACGCAAGTCTGTCCAAACAATGCGCTTCAGAGTCATTTATATGCATTCGTAAGAGCCGACACCTAAGTGTGTACAAGTCTTTGCCGAGAAAGTTAACATAACACAATAAGAAAATCACGAAAGTTCATTCGGTTTATGAGTGACCATCAAACTGATGACTCGTAATTAAATGACATATTTAATTATAAGCATTAAGAGATGCAGCTTAATTCTCGACTGGTTAGAAAGAATGCTTAAAAACATAGTACTCGAGAAGCGCGAAGTAAATCTTCAATTTTACACGAAACAATGATCATTTCACTTTACTGTCACCTTATTTTTTTTTATTGCTAGTGGGGTGGGACTAAGTCCCTTGTACTGCGGCCACTTCTGGCCTATTGTACCAGCCCCAGATGATAGGTGAGGGTGATTGTGGAGCAATTGGTGGAATGAAAATTGGCAGGGGAAACCGAAGTACTCGGAGAAAACCTGCCCCAGCGCCACTTTGTCCACCACAAATGCCACTTGACCAGACCCGGGCTCGAACCCGGGCCGCCACGATGGGAAACCAGCGACTAACCGCCTGAGCTATGGCGCGGCCATACTGTCACCATAAAGGCTAGCCATTGAACTGCATCCCGAATCCGTTTACAGTCCATATCCCTGCAACCTATCATTTATACGTATATTTCCCGCCAATTTTCGACGTGTTCCCCTAAGAAGTATATTTCCAGGAATGTTTAAAGCTACTCTTTATGTATAAAACGGCGTTCCTCCCAAGAGTACTATTTGTAGACCATCTCAACATTTATGTTCGCCATCTTGATAATGAAGGTGTTTTAATGTAGGAATATCTGTTTGCGACTGTCATCAGTCGCTTAAGAAAAGTCTGTTTCTTTTGTTTCAGAGTGCACTGATAACATGGTGGCTCCTGGGAACTACACTAGCTGATAAGTCGACTGCTCTAGTCAAGCGAGAGGGTAAGAATATGCTTTCAATTGACTAAAATCAAGAGTTTAATCCGTTGGAATAAATAATTCCCATATGGAGGTTTGTTGTCTTGAACCAGTCTAATATACATTTATAGTGTATCAAAAATTGTTTGTAGTAAGTGAAGTAAAGTTGTCCCTCTACTTCACTAATTAAGCACTACGCCATGAAGACTTATGGGGGAGTGGAGGTATAGTTCCATCATTCTTAGCCTCGGGACTAGATGGACATTAATGGTCAGCTTCACGCCCCAGCCGCTTTACCCCTATGGAAAGACAATTGCAGTAAATAAAAAGAAAGTTTTATTAAATTTAAATATATGTCTTTAAAATAAAATTTGGTGTATTTTATAATGCGGCTTTCTGTTACTAGGTGACACTTAAAGGCACATTGTACAGTTTGTATACACTCCTATTTAGTTTTGGTATAAAGTGTTTATCTGTCTTCACTCGCTCGGAAGGCGGGATCTTGGGTTCGAATCTCACTCAGGGCATGGATGTTTGTGTGCGTTTTTCTGTGTTTGTGTACAGGTAGAGGGGCCTTGCGACGAGCTGATCACTCGCCCAAGGAGTCCTACCATATGTCTAAGATCTAGTAAACCGAAGTGAAACGGAGAGTTTCATGGAGGTAGGCCAAGGCCCAAATTGGGACTGTAGCGCCAGTGAAAAAAAAATAAAGTGTTTATAAGAGTAATGGTAAAGTTACCCCCAGGAAAAGAGCCCCCAGTACCCTTTGTTTACGAGACTGAGTGGACCTCAGAGTCGGTCTGGACTACGTGGAAAACAGAAAACCCTTGACCGTACTGGGATTCGAATTCCGACCCCTCGGTCGTCCAGCCAGTAGCCAGTCGCTATAACGACTGTGCTATCCCGGCTCCTGTTTATAACTATAGATATTTAATTTTTAATACTGTTTGATTTTTCATCCAGTAGTCCTATATAGTTGCAAGATCTCGCCAGTTGGAATATTAGCGGCCATCAGTGAGTAGGTTATGCGAATTTAATGTCTTCATTATATTCGTAGTCGTCATTATTTAATTTATGATTCCTCCTGCCCAACGCGCTCGTAAAATATACGCTTTTACAAACCTCTTTGTTTCTATGCTTCACACGCTTCATGGCTGCACGAAACATGAATTTGCGTGCTACGTAACATGCTTACGGTAGTAATAATAATAATAATAATAAGGAAAATGATGATAATATTTAACATTTCACATGTATCCCCATATCAGAATAAGTTACTGGTGTAAAAATAATTGAAAATATAAAGTAAACATGAAACCTTGATATTATCTGTTCTGTAGAAAAGTGCATACGCGGCAGTAACTAACAAGTGCTATCATTACAGAAATATATTTGAGATAAATGCAGGTTGCCTGTATAATTAACATTTCCTACTCGTTGTCTCGTGTTTCCCGTCAGTACACGGTATACGAGTATAAACATTCTTCTATACCGAGCCGGTGGTACAGAAAACCAAGGCATTAAAATTCTCCTGGGTGTTTATTAGTAGATAACATTGACACGATTTAGGGATGACTATAGACGGGGTTTGGATTGGCAAATGGATTAATTGACCCCTTATACACACCACTCGGAACTGCACGTAATTAGAGCGCTATCGCTGAACTCCACACTTTACAAATCACCACAGCAATCGCTAAGCCTTTTTCCTGTGTGCTGTGTCTTCATCAGCCGTTTCCTGGAAATGGCATCTAACAGTGGAAATTCTTTAGCTTCTCGCGCTCAAGCCAGAGCTACATGTTATCTTTCTCTGGTCCTGAACAGAGTTATATATTTATTTCGCAAGAAATTATAAAGAGAACTTCGCATTGCGGCAGCTGCTTTCTGTGACGTGTTGCAGTACCAGAGAACATAACAGCATCCGTACAACAAACCATACTAAAAGTAAATGATACAGTAACAGTGACAACTGTGACTCTTTAGAAATAGTGGATAAGTCATCTGTAAATATTTAACCCTTTAATGCACAATGCATTTTGCTCACAAAGTACATATATAGTTTTCGAATCATTCTCAGAATGAGCAGAGACTACTTCCCTAAACAAGTTGATTGACTGGTCTTTGTAATGGTGACACGACGTTTTTTGTAAAATATAAACTAAATTCTAAGCATTGTTTAGACGATTTGTTACTTCCAATTGTTTATTCAATGTTATTTTAGACCTGTGTATTATTAAAATCTTATTTCAAAAATTTTATTTTTTTAATCTTTTAAATTTTTTACGTAATATTACAGAACGGTTTTCAGTAGCGGAAAACACACAATCAATTTAATTCTTTGCCGAGATTCAAACCGAGAACCAAGAAAGTTTATGCTACACCTACCTGTACATTATTAATCCTGTTATCAAAATGAGAACATAATTAATTGAATGTATACTCAGTTCTTTATTGATAACTTTTAATTACTCAAAATAACTGGGTGTTTGGACTTTGTACATCGTCCGGTATTCTAGAAACTAGAAAACACAACGTTTCCGTCCTCAGATGAGAGGGAGGAAGACACCTATTCTGTAGAGTCCCTTAGAATGAGCAAACCTCAATCACTGGACAATCCCTGTCAGATTCATTACAAATATTTACACACCTGAGACCAGGCTAATTCAGAGGGAGATAACAAGAAAATATGAAATAAAAATTGTGATAAAGCACGCACATGGGCGGAACTAGGATCGAAAAGGAGGTAGAAGTTTGTCCTACAAATCTAGCCAACAAAACCAAGTTCATGAAAATCAATGCAAAAAATGGAAGAAACCTAGAATCAAATTTTAATGAACTTGATAAGAATAATATGTATTTCATATTATTATCCTTAAACTCCCATTCATCAGCAATATAATCATGGAGACTAAACGAAATATCGCCCGTGGAACGCTGGTTCCTTTCAACATAGGCTAACTTTTCAAACTCGGTGGCCTGTAGTCCGCAAACGAACTATACCGACCGAGCGACCGCCGCTTGTCGGCGAAGTTAGTGCCAACTTTTGCGGATAGAGTGTGTCTCGTGGTCAGCGCGGCTGTCTAGACCGATAGACTAAATTCAACAAAGTTAAATGTGTTGATAATTGTATTTTCAACGACCCCAGCTTGTCATAAGAAGACGGTATTTTTTTATTGCTAGTAGGGCGGGACTAAGGCCCTTGTACTGTGGCCACTTCTGGCCTATTGTACCAGCCCCAGATGATAGGTGAGGGTGATTATGGAGCAATTGGTGGAATGAAGATTGCCAGGGGAAAGCGAAGTACTCGGAGCAAACCTGCACCAGTGCCACTTTGTCCACCACGAATCCCACTTGACCAGACCCAGGATCGAACCCTGACCGCCACGGTGGGACGCCAACGACTAACCGCTTGAGCTATGGCGCGGCCCAAGAAGACGGTAAGTCACTGTAAATCAGTAGCTGCAGTGCCGCTGTTACCACTGTGTAATCGACTACAAAACACGGATAAATTCTGTTGCTTCTCAAGCTGCTAGGAAAGTAAACGCGAAAAAACAGACACCAGCAATGACGATTAATGTTTACAACGGTCAGATTGTTTTCATGTTAAGTTATATACTGCATTACTGATTTGGCAGCCGGAGGAGTTGGTCTTTCCGGTAGCTACGGAGCACCATCATCGCCTTCAAGTAACGGAACTCCAGGAGGTCCTGTATCACTTGCTGGTGTGGGCGGATTTGGAGGAGGTGGTGCTCCCTCGTCGAGTTATGGAGCTCCTAGTGGCGGATTTGGAGGAGGTGGTAGTCCTTCGTCCAGTTATGGAGCTCCTAGTGGCGGATTTGGAGGAGGTGGTACTCCCTCTTCGAGTTATGGAGCTCCTAGTGGCGGATTTGGAGGAGGTGGTGCTCCCTCGTCGAGTTCTGGAGCTCCTAGTGGCGGATTTGGAGGAGGTGGTATCCCCTCTTCGAGTTATTTAGCTCCTAGTGGCGGATTTGGAGGAAGGGGTACTCCCGTGTCGAGTCATGGAGCTTCTGGTGGCGGTTTTGGAGGAAGTGGTACTCCCTCGTTGAGTTATGGAGCTCCTAGTAGCGGATTTGGAGGAGGTGGTACTCCCTCTTCGAGTTATGTAGCTCCTGGTGGCGGATTTGGAGGAAGTGGTGCTCCCTCATCGAGTTATGGAGCTCCTAATGGAGGATTTGGTCAAAGCGGTACTCTTTCGTCAATTAATGGAGCTCCTAGTGGAGGATTTGGAGGAGGTGGTACTCCCTCGTCGAGTTATGGAGCTCCTAATGGAGGATTTGGACAAAGCGGTACTATTTCGTCAATTAATGGATCTCCTAGAGGAGGAGTTGGTGGAGGTGGTACTCCCTCGTCGAGTTATGGAGCTCCTAATGGAGGATTTGGAGGAGGCGGAACACTTTCGTCGAGTTATGGAGCTCCTGGTGGCGGATTTGGTGCAGGTGGTGCTCCTAGTAGTGCCTTTGTAGGAAGCAGTTCTTCATCCAGTCACAAGGCTGCCAATGGAGGATTTGGAAGTAGAGGTGGTGCTGTCTTGTCTAGCTACAGTGCTCCTAGTGGTGGATTTGGAGACGGTGGAACTCCGTCGTCGAGGTATGGAGCTCCTAACAGTGGATTCGGTGTAAGTGCATCTTCGAGTTTCGGCGCGTCAGTGACACCTTCGTCGAGTTATGGAGCGCCTAGTAGTGGATTTGGTGGAGCTACCTCCACTTCAAGATTCGGCGCACAGGCGGCACCTTCATCAGGTTATGGAGCTCCTAACAGTGGATTCGGTGTAAGTGCAACTTCGAGTTTCGGCGCACAGGCGACACCTTCGTCTAGTTATGGAGCTCCTAGTAGTGGACTCGGTGTTGGTGTTTCGTCTTCGAGTTTCGGTGCATCAGCGACACCTTCATCCAGTTATGGAGCTCCTAGTAATGGATTCGGTGTTGGAGTATCGTCTTCGAGTTTCGGCGCGTCAGCGACACCTTCATCCAGTTATGGAACTCCAAGCGTTGGACAAGAAGGCGGTGGTATAATTCCTTCGACCAGTAACCGCGCTCCTTCTGCTCCTTCGTCGAGCTACGGTGCGCCGTCCTCGTCATTTGGAACCCCGTCAGCATCATTCGGGTCATCGAACAGGCCCGGAATTGCAAGCTTTGGAGCACCATCTCCCAGCTACAGCGGACTTGGAGCGCCATCAGGGAGACCATCTAATCCATCCGGAAATTACGGGGCCCCTCCATCTACAAGTTATGGAGCACCCTCTCCGAGCTTTTCCTCTGGATCCTTTGGTGGGGGAGAACCATCCCAAAATTATGGAGCGCCTTCAAATCCCTCAGCAACATCAAATCGTTACGCAGCCCCTGCGGCGCCTTCACCAGGCTATGGTGCACCTACTTCGGCCGGTTCTTTCGGTGGAGGATATTCTTCACAAATACATGGCGCCCCTGGAGGAACTGGATCGTTCGGAGGTGGTGCACCTTCCAGACCATCAGGCAGTTATGGAGCTCCGAGCGCAGGTTCTTTCAGCAGTGGAGTTGCTGCATCCGGTAGTTACGCTGCACCTGCGTCAACTTTCGGTGCTTCCAGCCTTTCTTCTGGTTCGCTATCCCAGAGTTACGGGGCCCCTTCAGGGCCAGCTGCTACACACGGTGTTCCTTCGTTGCTTTCATCAAGTTACGGCGCACCGAGTGCTTCATCTGGATCTTTCGGAGCTCAGTCTCAAATTTATGGGGCTCCATCGGCTGCACAATCACGTGGGTCATCAAGATCAGCGGGGGTTTCCAGCTCTTCAAATAAATTTTCTCAAGGAAGTGCACCGTCAAGGAGTTACGGTGTACCAGCAACCATAGGACAAAGCTACTCAAGTAATGGGGGTTATGTATATTAATTTTGTAGGTATAAATTTCCATTGAATTGGCAGTATTTTCCAGACTTGGAATCCAAAGTTACGTTTATCTCAGCTTCCGTAATATCATATTTGAAATAAATGTCCTATTTCATAGAATGAAGGTCTGAATTTGGTGTTTTATCCTTTCAGTATTACAGAATCTACGTACATAACTTATTAACGTATAAGTTATATGTGGCACCTGAACGTTCCATATCATTACAGATAATATCATTTCTTATTTACATGCAGATAACTAAAATATTTTCTTCATATATATTCAGTCAGTGATTCAGTATTGAGGGGGTGGGTTTCCCCATGCACCGCGACTGATAGTCTATTGTACATCCCCCTTTTAAAATCTACTGTCTCCATCCCCTACCGATACTGGTGCTCGCTATCAGCCCCTTTCTGCCAGCAAGGTTTCTACCCTCTACTTGGCAGTGGTATCTAATAATTAGTCCCTTTCTGTCAGCGAGGTCGTCCCTCCTCTGGCAGTGGTACCTAATACTTCCCCATCTATCGGAGGCATTGGAAACTATTTGGGCGGGAAACGTTTAGCCTAATTTAGCTCGGAGGCCTCCTAGAGACATGAGGTTCTTTTACGTGCCGTAAATCTACGACACGGGACCCACGGCTTAAAGTCCCTCCCGGAGGACTTGTTCCCTGAATTTTTCCGCCCTTAAAAATTCCACGACCTCCGCCGGGTTTGAACCCGCGTACCTTGAGTCATGAGGTGGGAACGTTACCCCTAGACTACGGAGGCCGCTTTCATAGATATTAACTAAATCACATATATATATATATATTTAGAATCTCGAAAGTTTAATATGTCCAGTAATTGATCGCAGTTTTCTATTCACGTTATGACTGCACGAATATGATTTTATCTTTATTTAAGAATGACCATAACAATTTATGTGCAAAACTCATATTTTTAAGCAGTTACAGTCCTCACACTATAATATCGTAACCAAGGCAAGGACATCACTAAATACTGATGTCTTAATTTCTGTTATTTAATTTATGAACTCAAGTATTGTACTTCGAGCAATCGTGTGGTTCAGTCCACAGGGACATTTTCTTACACTTGCATAGGAAACTAATCTACTATTTAATCATCATGACCCCCCCTTAAATTAACTGCAAGAAATATGTAATACTGTCAGAGTTTATTAAAATATGATCATATTCACTGTATTTATGTGAACTCAAACACACATTACGATAAGATGTTTCTGTCTTAAATTATTTATTAATAAAGCCGACTTTTCTGTAATTCAGCTCGTAACTTCGAGTGTGTTGCTATCAAAAATTCTTAAAAGCAGATTTTCTAAGAGATATTTGATATGAAGTCCCTAAGCACATGCCGCTACTCATTCACTTGCAGTATGTATGAAATAGTTTAATGCACGTTTCAGAGTGGATACAAGCATGCATCTGCACATAAGTAAGAATGAAGAGTTTTGTTCTACTGGTTAATGGATATTGATTTAAATTACTTATTTTCTATTTTGCTAATGTCTTTTTGGACGTTGCAAACTATCAGAGGTACATTTGATACAGGTCTACACGACTGTCTAGAAGCTGTAAAATCTGAGGTTTCCACAGCGGTGACTTTGAAGAATGCCTTCTTCTGTGATGTGGCGCCGTATAGATAGTTTGTTAACCGACGTTTCGGAGGATCATATCAGGTGTGTGTAGACACCTGCTCACGCTTGTTCATCTCTCTCGGATTATTTATACCCTGAAGATGGAGGCGATGCATTACAAGCATTGTATGTATTTGTATTTTAACACTCAAAACACCCATTGTGATAGTGATTTCCAAAAAAGTATCGATGTTCCCGCTGATGATGGTCTATAAGGACCGAAACATATAAAGGCGTTGAGTTTTCAAGAAGTAAAAAAACTCCAATAGTCACACTGGACGTAGTTGTTTTGTCTTTGTAATGGAGGCGATACGTTCCTCCGAAACGTCGGTTAACGAAATATCTACACGGCGCCACATCCCAGAAGACGGCATTCTTCGTCGCGTAGAAGTTGGTTTTACTCCCATCTTAAAGTAATTGGTTGTTATTCTAGTAACAGAATTTATTACCTTTCTATTTTTAATATTATTAGTGGCAGTTAAAGATGGCTGTAAATCTTAAGCAAGTTTATCTTCTCTGTCATCTTGTCTTTACGAATTAGCCAATGTAGTGTCCATCCTAACCTCAAAATCCTGTTCGTATAATAACTTTCTTTTCCTTCTTCGCAGAATGCAGGCTTCGCCAAATACAGTATTACAATCTTCAACAGTATTACCACGAAGCAGGATAGTCTGGCTTAACGCTCCTGTAGTGCATTGAGAGGTGCTTGGCACGAACCTAAGGCTACTCAGCCTCGTGAGGATAATTGAGGAGCTGTTTCAAGGAAATAGCAACTCCGGTCTAAAAAACCGAAATTAATGGCCATAGGGATCCGTTGTGCTAACCACGTGACAACCTCTATCCGCTAAAGTTGGCACTAGCTTCGCCGACAAGCGGCGGTCGCTCGGTCGGTATAGTTAGCTTGCGGACTACAGGCCACAGAGTTTGTTTTGTTTTGTTCGCTTTTCATATCTAGGTATGGTCTTAAATTTGTTTTACTTTTATACACGTAAATTTCTTATGTTTTTCTCCAGACTCTTCTGTCGTGCATGAAGGCACTTACTAAGCATCGAAACGGAATTGTAACATCGAAATATTTATCTCCAAACTGCAGATGTTACTCTTCTCCATGATGAGCATATCATGGTATTAGGTTCATAAGAACACGAATTGCTCATTTCAGACACTTACGTGTCAAGCTACTTTCACTTTTTTGTATATTCTCGGGATAATCAGAATATCTCTCTGTATAATAAATTATCATTCTCATATGTATGTAAATAAAGTGTATTAACTGTGTCATATTTCATATGTATTGTGAACCCAATAAACATTTTTATATATTTGTATCTCTACTTCTTTCTTGGTTTAATGACTTTATTATTTTAATAAGTGAATTATTTTATTATTATTATTATTATTATTATTATTGGTGTAAGCACCCTTTCTCTCATCATTCTATAATTATCCATAGCTGAATCAGTAAAATGATAAGACTAAGTTTTGGACAGCCATGGTTTGATCCCCAGCAGGGACAGGAATTTCTCTTCTCCATGCTCGAACTGACACCGAGACCGATATGGTCTCATAAGCAATGTTCTTTTTCTATAGTAAAATCGACCAGAACATGAATTTCACCATTAATCTTCACATGATACCGAAGTTAAAAATTCACAGAGTTTTACCTCCCATGCCCTATATCTCGTCTTTGTGTGGTGCTTAAAAACAGGGGTAATTTTTCCTTTTCCCCTTTATTTTACAAGTAAAGTGAAGTTTATTGTACCCTTACGTCATTAAGTGTGTGTTTTACCCTTAATAACTCTTGATGTAGTTAGCTAACTTGCCGAAATGTGCCATATACATACATATCGCCAGTAAAGTTGAGAGGAAGTTAGTAAGGTTTATTTGCACACATGGTTTCATTTCCAATATGACTGCAGTATACACTACTGAGATTCGAACGCTGTTTAAATCTATTTTAAAATTCAGAACAAGTCACAATAGTGTTTCGAAACCTACGCATTTCAAGTGAGGTATTTATGTGTATAATGTAACATAACTGTACTGTAGCGATAAACAATGAATGAACAGATGTTAATGTGAATGTGTAACATAGTATAGGAATAGGCGATAGTAATATTTAAATATTTTTCACTGGGTCTACAGCACCCCTTGGGCCCTGGCCTCTGATTTTTTTAGTTTCATGTTCATTTTAGAGATGGTAGGACTCCTTGGGCGCGTGATCAGCTCGGCACAAGTTCTCTAGCTAAACACAGGACAACACTAACAGAATAAACACATACACATACCAAACATCCATGTCTTATGTGGGATACGAACCCACGATCCCGGTTTCCGAGCAAGCGAGCGAGCTCGGCTACCATGACTGGTCCAAAACTTGAAATGGCTGCATAGAATACTGAGACATAGTAACAAACCTCTGTGAAGTTGGCTGATAATCCGGACCAGAAAAGGAACTTGTGCTTCTCAGTTCCTCGTATAGAAAGTTACCGTTACGTCATCCTCCTTGATAACTAATCATGTCACCCACCACCCCCACCCTCTGTGGCTCCATACTTTTGCTGCCAGGTGTTGAGGTCTACACCGAAGTGCATTTGCATGAAATGAGACCAGGAATACCCTACAAGTGACAACTACATTTCAGTTAGGCCTATAGTTTTTACGAAAGCTTTTACAATTTAAAGAACTAGACTTTGAATATGGACTGGGATTCAGCTTGCTCAGGATAGAAACCAATGGTGAGATCTTGTGGAAAGGCCAATAAATCTTCAGACTTCCAAAATAAACTGTTATGCTTTTTCAAGGTCATTAATAATGACGCCAAAAATGAACTATGCACTCCACGATTTATTATCATTTCTGTATTTCTTCTGTTTATAACAAACAGCCCAGTTCTAAAACACATGTTTACAGTTTATTGTTACAGTATGGTACACAGACTACTTTCACATTGTTACATTTGTTGATTTTCTACTTCAATCATTAAGTGGTAAACCTCTAATTATTTGTCTTCGCTTCTTAAGAATTATTAGCAGGGATGTTTTTTTTCTGTCTTGTCCTATACAGCGAAATAAAATAGAGTCGGTATGACTTATTGCATTCTACATCCACAGTTTTCTTCCTTTCACATGTTTATTCTTACATATGCCAACTTTCATCCTTTTTAATATTATCATCTTCATTTTTAATCTGAGATTCGATTTAGGCCCCTATATGATATGTTTATATATTTTCTTCTACTTCGTGAAACTTTACAATATCGTCATAATTCTCAAGTACATATCTCAGAGAAACTTTGGGTAACATATAAACAGTACATTGCGCCAACGTTACCGATAAAGAGATCACTTCAAAAAATCACACCGAGATTTCATTTCATAAGTAACACTTTGAATATTAGCATGATATGTTCAACATGATATGCATCGAAATTTCAGTATACATCAATTTGTCAAGCTAACAAGAAACATAAATAATAAAAACACAATAAATATACAACAATATAATTGTAATTAAATTACAGAAATATCAAGTTATATTAAAGTATGTTTCATCTGGTCCGCCATTATGATTAAATTTAAATCATTTAGAAAAAAATACATATTCTTACGTTATTG